AACCTATTTCATCCCTTAACCCAACAACTCAAATAAGCCCAAACACACGTACCCTACTGAGCTGGACCAATTGGCCCAAGAACCAAAGGGTTACAGAAACCCTAATTTGCTTTCGCACTCAGCGCCGCATCATCCCGCTGACCGATTTGGAGATCAATATGACCCAACATAGGGTTTGGCTTGTAACCCTTGCGCTGCCAGTGCCCTCTGCCATCTCTCCATTTCTAACGTGGGAAGCTTCTCACCAAAAATCAAATAATTCAAAGTCCAAAATATCTTGAAAATATGTTTTAAATTGTTTTATATATGTGAAATGTTTTTGAGTTAATTAAACATGTTTAAAGTGTTTAAATATGTTTAAAGATTTTTAAATATGAAAATACTATTTAGTCACTATTTAACACTGTTCAAGAACATTGTTCATAGTTTGGAAACTTTGTAAGAATTTGGAAACTTTTATTAAGAGTTTCGAAACTTTACAAAAGTTTCAAAACTTTGCACCCAAAAACTGTTTTAACGACTTGATTTTCTTCAACGATCATATTTTTAAGTAAAAGTTTCGAAACTGTCATCAAAGTTTCAAAATTTTCTCAAAAGTTTTGAAACTGCATGTGCATGTGACATTTATTGCATATTTTTAAAGCTTTCCAATGGCTATAACTCATCGACAACAGTCATAAAACGGCTAGCAACTCATTCTACACAATAAAAACACTCCAAAGACACTTGAAGAAGGTTATTACACCTATCCAAGCTTAAAGATCAAGAGAAAAGAGTTTTTCATTCTTATTTTTCATTTTCTCTTGTATATAGTGTATTAAGCCATATTCAATATCTTTGTATTCATTCTTTGTGAGCTTAAATATTTGTAAACACCTACCTAGTGAGGTATTATTGTTTACCCAAATCAAACCTTGTAAAAGGGGAATGGTTCTAGTTTAACCTTAGAAAAACTAAAGAGTTATAAAGGTTACACCTTACCTTCAAGGTAAGAACAAATTAGTGAATTTGTTAGAAAATCCTTAGTGTGGAGCTAAGGTAGTGGATGTAGACTTGGTTGAGAGTCGAACCACTATAAATCATTGTGCCAAATTTTCTATCTTTTATTGCTTCACACCAAAGATTTTTAAAGGTCAATTCACCCCCTCTTGGCGGTTTTTGGTTGATCGTTTTGAGCATAACAATTGTTATCAGAGTGGGTCACAATCGACAGTTTTAACAACCTTTTGAAGATCTTAGAAGAGCTCTATCAATTTCCGACTCAATCAAAATGATGACTTTTTCCTCCGACGCTTACTACATCAAAGATTATCAACCGATCAGCAAGCCACTCTGTTTCAATGGAGCAAATTATGCATATTGGATGAATAGGATGATGCTCTTCATTCAAGTCACCGATCTAGATGCTTGGAACTCTATTCTAATGGGCCATTCTACTCCAACTAGAGCTATGACGAAATGAAGTGAAATAGAGAAGAAAGAGTTCCAACTCAATGCTGAGGCCATGCATATTTGTTTTGTGCATTTGGTCCCGATGTACATGAAGAAGTTTCATGTTCCAATGTCAAGGAGCTTTGCGATAAGCTTGAAGGACTTCATGGTGATAAGAAAGAAGAACCGTCAAGTTCAAATCTCCTCCCCAATCCAAATGTGGTGTGCTTTATGGCTCTTGAAGAGCAAGACGTATCTTCTAACTCAAGTGATTTTAATTCATAATCTTTTACTGAGTTACAATATGCTTATGATGAATTATGTTTGAAATTTGAGACCATGAGTTCCAAATATAAGAATTTGATTTCTAAATTTAAAATGAAATTATTTTCATTTGAAAATAAAAGTGGATTTTGAAAACAAAATGAAATTTAAGAAAAGACTTAGATTTTTCAAAAATCATAATTGATGAATTTGAAAAAGAAAATCTTGATTTAAAAGTTAAGCTTGAATGCTTAACAAAAGAAAAACAAATCATTTTAAATAATTCATATAGCTTAATAATGGTAAAATGTTCAAATTGTCATTTCCATGGTCATAGTATACATACTTGTCATATAAAAAAGTAACATTGATGAATTAGATATTTGCATTTAGATCCCCTGTAGTTTAGCGCATTTTCGCAGTTTGATCCCAAACATTCACTTTTCAATTTATTGCAAATTTGACTCATTCTTAACCTTTATTTGCGATTTAGTCATTTATTTATGTTGTTTTTATTTATTTTGAATTGGTTTTTGTTTTTGTGTTTTGTTACATTTCAGTTTCAGTTTTAATTTCATTATTAAACCCCTAACTTCTAACTTCTAACTTACTAACCCCTAACTTACTAACTTTATTTATTTATTTTCGCATTCAAATCATTCTACGACTTTGTGGTGAGTTGTTCTGGGCTAAGATATGCATTATCTATGGTCCGGATAAAATTCTAAAATAATTGCTAATTTCCAATTCAATAACAGCTAACCTTTTATTTTTTTTATTCGATTACATTTCTGTTATTTGTATTTATGCTCTTTATTTTCCGTTGTTTACATTTGTGCCTTTTGCTTATTTATTTATTTATTTCCATTCTTAATTTTTCATTTACATTTATGCACTTTATTTTTTTCTGTTTACATTTCTATAATTTAATTTTATGTACTTTAATTTTTGTCCTTTAAATTTCTAGCATTTATATTTGAGTTCTTTTAAATTTCAGCATTTATTTTTCTGTTTTCTCATTTTAGTTTGAGCTTTGTATTTTATTGTGGCTTATTTTTATCCCTTCATGTTATTTTTTTAGCTTTTTTTTTTCATTTCTAAGGCATGTAATTTGTTTCATTTGCATTTTGGTCCTAGTACTTTATACTCGTTATCTTTTTTACATATGTAATTATTTAGCTACATTCAATAAATCGATGTAATGCTTTTTTGTATGGGAAATCTATAGGAAAAGTCTCCTGATTACAAGGCAAGCACGTTCCGAGCATACAAAAGGGCATTCTTTTATATGGGGAATCTATGGAAAATCTCCCAACTACAAGGGAAGTGCGTTTCTGAGGATTGTTCGTATAGAAGAATTCATTTTTATTTTATTTTTGGATCATAATTTAAATATCTTTCGATTTACAATTTTCAAATAAAATGACATATAATCGAATAAATATCGATTTCGAGCATTGTGGGGTACTCTTCCTTCCCCATACGTAATCGACTCCCGAACCCTTTCAAAATGAATTTCTGGTTAAACGCATGCTAGTTATATCTTTTCATTTATTTTTTCCTGAAAATTATTTTAAAAGATATTTTTAAATATTCGACCTACCTAACCCAAAGGTCGATGACAACTCCAAATCATTGGTTTTCTCAACCCCGATCTTTTCAAATCAAGTTGGTTGATTCCATTCTAGCTCCCCAAAAAAGCTTAAGGACAGTTTCCGCACTTAACATTTCAAGGACTAAAATGACAAGGAAACAAAGAGATGACCTAATACTTAACAAATCAATTAACATGACAAGAAGATATGTAGGTATTAATACAATCCTTGAGGTATCGATTTATTACATTCAAAAATTTTAAAAATTAATATTAAATTCATGGTATTATACTCTTATTTGATATTGATACTTAGATTCGCGATTTGATATTCTTAAGTACAAGAATCTTAAACATTTTTTAAACATCAACAACTTCTATCATAGTTCATTCTTAAAGTACAGAATCTTAAATCAAGAATCTCACATTGATGATCGAAATTTAGATAGGCTTAATTAAGATTAAATCGATCGATTAAACATCCAAACATTCATTAAACACTTATTTAAGGATTAATTATCAATTATATCAATATATTAGTTCCTTACTATCATAGTTCATTCAAAAAGGGTCAAAAATACAATTTAACCAATTGGGTTCGTGTGTTTTTGAACTTTTGTGTTTTAAAACTCGCCCTTGAGTACTGAAATTTAAGGTAAAGTTTCAAAACCACTAAACTTTATGTCTTGAAAATTTAAGGTAAAGAAAATTTTGAAAATTTAATCCAAATCGTCGCCGTCCTTCGTCGATTCCCGCCGATTCTGACGTCCATAATCCATACCGTCACCACATTCGAACCACCTGCAATTTCGATCAAACCAACCGTTCGACAATAACGATGACGATGATGGCTAGAGATGGTCGACGACCGTTTGAGTTTGGAATTGAAATTGGGAATTAGGGATTTGAATTTTAGGGATTTAGATTTAGGGATTTTGGGTGACGCTAAGGAAGACGATTGATCAATGGGTGGGTGGCGACCGTTCGTCATGATAATGATGGCCGAAGGTGGCGGCGACACTGATAATGGGGGTTAAATGAGATTTTAGTTTTTAGGGTTTTTTTAATTTCAATAAAAATTAAGTTTTTTAATAAATAAATTATTATATTTTTTTTACTTTTAGTTAAAAATAATATATTTATTATTAAAAATTAAAAAATAAACGATGGACACCTCAGTTTAAACAACAAACAATTAAAACGGGCAACTTAAGCATCAATTATACACCAAACATGCATCAAAACCTCAATAAAAAACTCACAAACAAGAATATGCATCCCATAGATTGTCATATAAGTTAAATTGCAATCCAGTGCTTTCAAAATAAACGATGGACACCTCAGTTTAAACAACAAACAATTGTCATAAATGCAATCCAATCCAGTGCATTCATTTTATTAGAGTTACCAAATTTACTTATTGTTTATTGTTCTTAAACATCTTATCCTATAATAATTAGGTAGGAATTTGAAATAAATAATAATTAGGTGACTAAAATGGAATCAAAGTGACAGTTATGAATAAATAGTTAGTTTAACCTAAAAATAAAAACAAAAAATCCTTTCGACTTGCTCCCTTCCTTTCCAAAAGTACCTCATCCCGCCGCTCCACCACTGCCTCCCCCTATGTGCTCTTTCTAAACTCCATCACCCCCCCCCTACCAACACAGCAATCCCGCAATGGCCACGGCCACCTCCGCCGCCGCAACTGTTTCTTCCGACGCAGCAGCCACAATTCCGGAGGCCCCGTCCTAAGTTTCATCAACAAACGCCTCCGCGCCTTACGCAAGAAATACAACCGCATCATCCAGATGGAAGAATCCGTTTCCCAGGGAAAACCTTTGAACAAAGAACAAGAAGAAGTCTTCCGTTCCAAACCCGCCGTCTCTTCCCTCATCGATGAACTCGAGAAGCTTCGCCAGCCTCTTTCCGCCGCCGTCTATGAAGAAATCTCACTCGCCTTACAGCGTCAAACCATCTCTCCCGAAGAAACAACCTCGGAATCCCAGCCGGACAAAACCGAAACCCAAGGACAACATTCTAACAATGAGCCCAATTATGACATTGAGGATCTACTTAATCTCCTCTATTTTGGGTTATTGTTCGATGTCAAGTATCAGAATGAGTTCACCTCGACCATGCTGACGAGAATCCACGAGAGAGGCTGTTGCTTGACGTACGATTACGTGACTGACGACGCTACCGATCTGCTTAGTGAGAAAGATTTGGATTTGATTGCGACGCTCAGTGGACGGCTGACTTCACGACCTACTGATGCCTGTTTGTCTCATAAGAACGCTTTGCAAAGCTGCGTCCAGCATGCTAAGCTTTGGATTTCTAACTCCGACCAGCCGATTGATCCCAATGCTGACATTTCGTGTAATAATCGATTCTAATAATTTCGTAGGTCTTTATTTGTTTACTTATTGTTAAATTTCTGGATTTTCTGAATCGGGAGTTATTTGCTGCAGATGCTGGGTTGAGACAGAGGCTTAACAAGATTATGTCTTTGGATTATTTTACGACCACGCCGGAGATTAAGGATCCTGTTGAAGTGGCAGCTGCTGCTGCTGGGACTTATACTTCTTTCCAGGTTCCAGTGCACAGCGTGCTCATTCCAGTCCCTGTTCAGGTGGAAGATTCAGCTGAGCATACCAGCCAAAGGTATTAACTTTGTTTTAGTTTAAAAATAAAGGGTGTAGCGCATTGGTCAGTATTAACTTCTGCATTTTGTTTCTGATATGTGTTTTTGTATAAAAACTTTGGCTTCCCTTTGTCTTTCTTCATTGCTTCCAAATTATTGTTAATATGTTCATTTGATGCAAGTACCTTGGTGTCTTGGAATCCATGAAGTTTTTTTATATACAAGTTAATAGCTACTAAATGTTGGAGAAGCAAAGTTTAAATTGTGGCAGAAACCCGCAAATTTTTTTGGTATATGTGAAGTTAAAAGTTACTGCATTGACATTAGAGAGTTTAAGTTTTTCATATGTATGCTTTAGAGTAATATCATTTTCCTCTCTTGGATTTCTAGTTGCTATCAATCGTCATAGCTATTTCTTATTTATTTCTATCAACTTTATTTGTCCCTGTATCTGTATCCTGCATCAGAATTAGATTCTGAATCTATATCTATATTCCTGTATGCACAAAAGGTTGTTTAAACATGAGTTCTTTAAATTTGAATTTATGCACAAAAGGCTGAGAAGACTATGTACTAGACTTAGCCAGCATGTCTTGCAAGATATCTTGTTCCTGTGTACCATAGCAAATACAAGTGATTGAAACAGTGAGTGTCCGTGTTTCCATGCTTCAGAAAGAAATTTGTTTCCCGTGTGCTACAGCAGATAGAAGTTTTTAAAACTGTGAATAATTGTGTTTCCCAAAGATCATTATGTGTTGGTTAATATCATTGTTATTTGGTGTTGTATGAAACTATGTATAATTTGCTTTTCGCCCGGAGGAAATTATTAACCATTTGCATTGGTTGCTAAATCTTTCAGACATCAACATTATTGAACTCTATTAAGTTTTAAGTGTTCATTTTTATATGAATAAGATACATACAAATGTTTCTAGCTGTAATGACTAATGACAAATCTACCTCATATACTATCCTTCTTTTCGTAGAAGGAAGGAGGTTTAACCAAGGTTTTCTTTTGTTAACGATGAAACCTAGTGTAAGAAAGCTAAATAGGAAATAGTTGGAACCTGAGTTACAGAGGAAAGTATTGGGTTTGGGGTGGCAATATTTGTAAAAAGGTTGATACAGAATGGATGAATCATTTGAAATTCTTGGAAGTTCTGTGTACTTGTTGGTCACATATTGTGGGGAGCTCAGCTATATCAATGGTAACTCTTGATGATGGAAGGTCTAAAGGGCAGTTGTCAGTTGGTGCAAGCAAGCAATGGGTTTATAAGAAGAGTTTCCATTTATGGAGATGATCCCAGGTTTGATTAATATCTGGACAGCAGATTCAGGATTTTGAGTTATTTATGCTTAGATTTATTTAAATAAGAGCAAGAATGTAATGTGGTTCTAGATATGTTCCCTTGGACATCATGCCTAAGATTGTGCAGTAAACTAGCATGCATGCATAATTACTAAAATCTCATAAAGTAGTTCTTTATTAGTCGATAGAAGTTGCATGTGTATTCAGAGAGTTAAGGAATTTTACTTTCTAATTTCAAAGTGTAACTCAGAACAAGTCCTAAAATGTTTAGGTAAAAGCTTACACCTTTAAGGCTAGGATGAAAAGAAGGGTTTGTACTCGGGGATTTTTCAATACTTGTTTGATCCATGAACTTTGATTAGATGTAAATGCCTTTGAGACTCATTTGAATCTCGAGTTTTGTGTTGACTGCTCTTTTAGTTGCCAGGGATTGCCCAACTCCCTTTTGTACTTTGTTGTTTGATATCGTGTATGTGTTGCATTTGAAAATTGATTGACAGTCTCTAGTGTAAAGCTATTTGGATTAGTTGGCCGATTTTGCTAAGATTTGTAGTAGCTATGAAATATCATTGATTTTAGTCTCACCTAAGTTATTGATAACTCTGGCTTTGTCTAAGTCGTACAAAAGTTGAGTCTAGAATAAATTTCAAGTTGAATATGTTTCAAACTCTAATTTTTTGGCGATAGGGTTTCTTTATCGGTTATATTGTCTTATTGTCTATACTACTATATTCCTCTGTGGGTGGAGCTAGAGTGCTTGACCCTAAAGCATAATGCACTGTATATATTTGGTTCATGTATAACTCCAGGAGTGGGATTCTTATTCATCTTACCTGTAATTTATTCATTCCTTGCTGCTGATCATCGTAATGGATGACATATTTGATAGAATTCATTCTTTTGATTGCCCCTTCTAATACTTTTCATTTCTGTTACGATTTTTTGCTTAGCAATCATCCTGTCCTTTAGAATTGTTTTCCAAGAGGCATGTTGTGTTTTGATCGCTCCTGTTAAAATTGTTGCCAGACTGGCTTTGGCAAACGAAAACTTTGTTTTAGATTATTTTTCCTTTTTTCCCCAAAGGGAAGTATACAAATTTGGTTTCTATAGCTGCAAATCTGCAGTTTACTCGGTAAGAAAAGATGGCAAATTTTGGCTAGGTGGTGTATTTTAGCCGAAAGAATTGATGTCGCGTTTTCACTTCAGTATTACAAGGAATTGAATAATGGGTTGTGTAGTATGGGTTCATACCCTGGCTTAAAGGTTTACTAATGGAACCCAACTAAAACAAAATCGTCCAAGGCATTCAAGTCGTCGTGAAGGGATTCATAAATAAGCACAGAAAATTGTCCCAAGAAGCTGTGAGAAATTCGAAATGTAGTGTGTAGCTGAGAATTTTCAAGTAGAAATGTTATTGCGATGGGCGTTCATTGTCATTTGTCCTGACATTAGCATAAATGGTTAAATTTCATTTGGAGCTGTTTATCATCCAGTTGGTGTTATGTTTTGAAGCTATTTTCTTATGTTCTGTAGGAAGACGACTCGTCAAATCATCAAGATGCTGAAACCGGCGACAATCAATATAGTAGTACAGAGGAACTTCAGCAGGTTCTTTCAGTTGACTTTAACACTATTTCTTCCTTCAGATTTTATATTTTAATATTGCAGGTTTGTGTTCTGCAGGATAATTTGGAGAGAGAAATCATGAAGAGGATACTACAGTTCGACAAGAACATGGCAAACCACAGGCAGAAGATAATGGAGAATCCAAGGAGCCACAATATGTTCCTCGACGACCATATCAGAACCAAAGAGGTGGTCGAGGTACCGGGGGTGGCCGTAGGTCTGGCCGTGGAGGTCGAGGCAATGGAAGGGGAGGTATAACCTACCAAAATGGGCAGAACCAATATTATGATCAGCCTGGCAACTATTATCCTAGGAACCAATATAACAACAGGGGCAGAGGCGAGAGGCGGAAGCCATGCTTACAACAACCAGGGCTCGGCCGTTCAGGTGGTAATCCCTCGGATGATGCTGGTGTTGCCTTGTGACAGCTTTACAGTGTCCGTCGGATCCATTTTTCCGGGCTGGTGATGGAAATGTAATTTTTGTGCTTTTTGCATGAAACATGGTTTGAATGTGGGTTGATGTCGATATCGTTTAACTTCATTTTTGTAGTTCAGTTGAATAATGCTATGTGAAGAATCTCCTGGGGGATGATGAATGCACATTCCCCTATAGATTTGTCAATGCAAGGCCGTTTAGCATTTGGGATAAAATTATGCAATAACTGTTATGACACCATAGATAACTTGATAATTGTTTTTAGGCTTAATGCAAAGTAAGTTTATGAACTTTACCTCAAAAGATGATTAGGATTTGGTGCTTAAAGTTTTTTTAGTTATATTTTTAGGTGTTCGTCGTTATATTTTTTCTTTTTTTAATAATAAAAATATTTATATTTAAATAAAAATAAAAATTAAAAAAAAAAACTTAATTTATTTACAAAAGAACCTTCAAATTTTAATGAAATTATAAAAAAACTAGAAAAAAACTAAAATATCTCATTTCAACCCCGTTACCATGGTGGAACATCGACAGAGCGACGGCGAGGATGGGTTTTGAGCAGAATTGGACGGTGGTTTGAATGGTAGTGACAACGTGGCATATGGACGTCGGGATTGACCGAAATTGATGAAAAATAGCGGCGATGACTTAAAATCTGACGAAACTTCGAATGTTTCTCTATGGCAAACGGTGGCAACTTACGGTGAAAGATCACTAGGGGTTTGATTGGAGGTCGACGCTGGTGTCGATGATAGTGGCAGTTATGGTCATCGCCGGCGGACCGATGACCTATTGCGGGGGGAAGGGGGAATAGCGCGAGGGCACTGTTCTTTTTTTTTTATAAAGCTATTTTTGATTTTTAAATAAATTCTTAAAATTATCAAAACGTGACATGTGTCACTTAATGGTCAGTTAACGGTGATTTTTAACGGCGAACACTTAAATGTATGACTTTAGAAATATTAGGCACATATTTTTAACGAAAAATTCTTTAGGCACTAAATTTATTTTTAGGCAAAGTTCAGATACTTCTTTTGTATTAAGTCATTTTTATATATATCCACAGCCAAGTATGGATCGAAGCGAACGAGTGGGGCAGTCATCATTGAAAATTTTAAATTATCATATATATTTTTTATATTTTCAATTGATAATTTTTTTTTCTCTTAAAAATTTACAAGTTTATCCTCCTAGCATAAGATTATGCATCCGTCTCTATCCACAAAAAGTGCAAAGAACTGTTAAAGAAATGGAACAAGAAATATGAAAAAAAAAACTGCAGCTATTAAAGTATCGAACAATGGACTCGTCCTGTGTACATGTATTATTTAACGAGTTGAGTATCTATCCCAAAATATTTAGGGTGAAAAATTGAGTCAAATTTAAGGTGAAAAATTTAGGATAGAAAAAAACTTTGATTTGATCAGAGATGATATTATAATTTTTATAAAAAAAATATTTAAAAATAATTACTCTATATATTTATCTAATAATCTCCATATTTTGTTAAAAAAATATTAATGGTCAGATTAGATAAGAGGCGAGTTTTTACTTCAAAAGATCAATTTAAGATTTGAGATAGATAAAAAAAAATTCTAAACCTAAATTGATTTAAATGTCAAGTGAAAGAAAATATTATTCTTTTGTGAATGAAGTAAATTGGATTCAGAACGTCGCCCTTATCTCTGTATTATTCAATTCGAATTAATCGATCAATAAATTAAATATATATGATTATAAAAAAAATACTACTCAGATTAGTGTCCGAATATACTAGTCAGGGTTTAGAAAAAGCTCCAAAAATACGATTTCGTCCGCGATATAGTAGTTTTGCTGCTGTCCAAGTTACCCGCTACACCCACAATGGCACCCAATAGCGCCCGCGACGGCCACAATCACGGTAAACCTGAAATAACCGAAAACGAGACCGCAACCACAATTTAAAACCCTAATACTAGTCAGATTAGTGTCTGATTGATCAGAAACTTAATATTATCCCCAATTAAGATATAAAGAATTAAAAATAAACACACAGAAGAACTAAAAACATAAATGGTTAAAGAGTGAGCTGCTCCATTCGTTAATCGTCGGAGATGATAGACTGTGACTTGTCTAAATTCTGTGAACTATTTGAAAGAGACTTACTTCTGCAAGTGAGTTCACTATTTTACCGCAATGGTACTTTAATATGCTTTCTGAGTCACTGCGGTGATCCGTGATTTTCGAGATTCGACCGCAACGTCTGGATCGGATTTAAGGGATCACAAATTACGTTTATGACGTCGTTTTTCATGTTACGCTTACAACGCTAAAAGCTTCTTGATTTTTCCAAGTGCCAATGACAACAAAATTATCACAAGATCACAGAGGAGGAGCTTTAAACAACCTATGTAGTTCCATTCAATAAGCATGCACCAATTTGCAACAAAAAAGTCTATAAAGGGTGGAATTTGTTTAAAAAATAGTGCAAAAAGTTGGGAGAGAAATAATGAATCATATCATCAATATCTTGAATTCGAAAAGTTTGGCAGAAACATGTCATCATACCAGAAACCGATCGACGAAGCACGTAAGGAAGCAAGCATCAATCAGCTCGAAACGAGTACTTTCTCTCATAGCAGGATCAGTACTCTCCACAGGTCTTCACCGGACTTAATGCCGAAAAAAACACAATGCAGACGACTCACAGAATACCTTTAGCTATTATGAGAAGAGTTTGAGAAGGATGTACAGAGCATATCGATTTCGAAAAACCGTGGTGTTCCCTCGATGTAGCTCACGGATTTATTCCTTGTTTTGCAAAATCTCTTGCCACTGAAACACGCAAAAGACAAAGGTATTGAAAGATAAGTAACGTTGGTTACAAGAAACCATGTCGTATGAAGCAAAAACAAATGACTGAAACTACACAAAACGGTATCGGGCCACGCTTCCAACAACATAATCCAAACATCTTCAACATATCAAGATTCTTTGTTCGAACAAGAAATATATATTTACATCGAACCGTTGCAGTAAGGGATGTATCCAGTTGAGCGAATTCCAGTAAAAAATTCGGTCCATCACGACAAGTTTATATAATCAGCTTTCATACGATAATGTTCAATGCTCGACATGTGCCAAATGATGAAACAACTAGTTTTAGTTTTTGAAATACATTAACTTCCTATTTAGTAGTCTAATGCACCTTCATACTGATTATGGAACCACTAAATTTAGTTTTTGCAGTAGATTAACTCTGTTTTCTAAGCCTAATGCCGATGCTCGCACGAAACATTCGTTCTCAACACCTTGCTATATGAGCAATAAAAGAAATCACAGGGGGGTAACACTGTGGTTTAAATGACTAAGAACTTGGGAAACTACCAAGGAAAGTAGTAAATAACCTATGTAAAATAACTAAACCAATTGCCTAATCATATACCTCAACACATAACGCTAAATAGAACACAATCACCAAATGGATCACAAATGGTAGATGAATAAAAACAGCTAAATAAGAAACCACATCGAAATATGAACACTAGTGTATCCTTTAGAGCATAAACTTGGTTAAGTTATCGACCTCAAAATTCGGCATCTATTACCAATGGAAGAGAACTCTTACCCTTTGATGCTGATGGAACTAGAACAACATGCATATCAGCATTGTTTGGAGGAAGCTGCAAGCGAAGAGGAAAGAGCTTCCCATTCAAAGGGCTGCGAGTACAAACCACAACATCATCAAGCCCTGTCTCTTCCTTTAATTTCTGGGTCAATTCATCCACACTATTACCCTTAAAACTAAGAGAGTACCCTTCAATAGCCTCATCATCAACCTCACCAGTACTATTATCTGCAACATGGAAGTATATTGTTCTTCCTTCTGATTTTGGTGGAGAGCCCACATAAGAATCACTTGACTACAAGAAAATGGAAATTGAATCATTTAAAAACAACCCAATTGATCCAAAGAGTTAAATTATGTGAAAACGAAGTTTATAAGTTTTGATCTTCAAACCTCTTGTCTTGAAAAATGCCCAGATTGGCCTGAAACCAATGAAGGTGAAGTGGATTCAAAGTCCAATGAATCTGCATGAAGAAGAGCATAAGGGAGCGACGGCTGTTGATTACTCGCCGGGGACTTTTCTTGAATCTCCACAATATCAACGCCCCACAATACCCAATCTTGAGTAGATGTCCGATGAGGAATATCGTGAGTCACTGAGTTCCTCCAAGGCGGTAACCCGCCATTGCCTCTCAAAAAGTTTCCGTACCGAGACTTTAGCTTAACCAGAGATCCTTCTCTGATGGGTTCCCACTCAACCGATGAGTCGAGCCTCCGAGGCAGTGTCTGACTCACTTTCCGACCGGTCATACCAAGTAGATATGGCTGGTTCGAAGCAGTGAGATATTTGTTGTAAGAGCTTTTGAGGCGGATAATGTTTTGATATCCAGGCACGAACTCGACGGTCCATCGGGCGTTTTTGGAGGATCCGTTTCGGTCTTGAGTGACGGATTCTTCGTCTTCCTCGGCTAGAAGATATTTGTCGTGGTGGCTGCGTAAACGCACCGATTTAGCGTTTAGGAACAAATCCATTTGCCGTCCAAGAGTTGTTGGATTTTAACCGGTGAAGACAAAGGAAGAACGAAGAGCAAGTGAACGAACAAAGGTTAGACCTTTATAGTGGAAAAAAATTTCGGTGTCTTCAAAAATGGCGAAACTTCCTACTAGATAAGGGCAAGTGATGACAGTGGGAGCCAGCCAGCCCTTGTAGGAAAAGGCAAGCACACACTGGGGAACAACGCGGTTAATTTTCCTTCATTTTTTATGTCGAAGATTTCGCCTAGGTTTGCTCTAAGCAGTGTTTTACGCACGTGGTAGGTCCATTTTGGGCTGTTTAGATCCACCTATGTCCAATATTCTACTTTTTTTTTCTTGTAAGAAGGAAATCACCCGGGAAAAAATAGGATAAATTACATCCGATGTTACTTTCGTTTGACTTTTCAGGTTAAATTATGAATTTAGTACTTCAAATATCAGTTTTAGTCGGTTTTAATACCTTGACTTTTAATTTTTCAAAAGTATATCTAACGTTTAGTTTTTTTATCTTAGTACCTCGTTCGCATTTTTTAATGGGTAAATTACATCATTCATCACTCAACTATCTTCTCACTCTTATTTTGATACTAAAGTTTAAAAAATTTCAATTTAACTACTCAACTTTCAAATTGCTCATA